ATGGGAGACAGAGGGAGGAGAGGACGGCGAGAGCACGTGTGTGGACGAGGCGTGACCGAAATAGTGTGTGTGTGCGGAGCGATTTTGGCGGCAGCGATGTTAGTGACGGGCGTCGCAATAATACTCCCCTACGTGGGCGGGCGTGGGATTTCGTCGCCACACGGAGCGCCACGAGGGCTGGAGAAACTATCATGGTTTTCTGTATTGGGAGTGCCCTTACACCCAATACTCCCCTATGTATTGGGAGTGCCCTTACACCCAATACTCCCCTACCAGGGCTGGCGCATTCTCCAGGACAGGTTAATACATCGCGCTACGTCGCTACATAACAAAAAGGGCTAAAAACAGCTAATGTTATTTTTTCGAATATTACACCAAGTATAATTCATCGTCAACCGAACACCAAGTGTTTACTTCACCTCCTACAGAGAGGTCAATATATTTCGTACATCATCATGTACTACTGCTCTCCGTGTTTATTTTTTAGGAACATAGTTCGGTCAGCGAACTCATGCTTCAGGGTTCGCCAAGACCACTACGGTGCTCGAGGACTCTGGCCAGACCACGCTCGTGCTCGGGGACTCTGGCCAGACCACGCTTGTGCTCAGGGACTCACCAGACCACTCTCCGACCACGGCTCGGGGACTTCGTCGCTCGCTCCTCGACCTGTGCTCGGGGACTGCCTCGACCACTCTCCGACCACGGCTCGGGGACTTCGTCGCTCGCTCCTTGACCTGTGCTCGGGGGCTGCCTCGACCACTCTCCGACCATGGCTCGGGGACTTTATGTCTCGACTACATACGACTGGCGACTCGCATACAGTTGGGATATTTTTTCTCACTTAGACCTTGCTACAAGGCTCATACCTCGCCTTCCAGCAAGCTCGGGGACTACATCGGTACGATGCACCTGCCGGTGCATCTTGTATCGCGTGTACGACGATTCGTTTCTCAACTTAACTGGGAATTCTTTTTAGACCCTGGCACCACGTGCCTACGTCACCTACTACCAGGCTCGGGGACTAAGTGGGCACACTTCACCTTGCGGTGAATGTGCTTGTTTTTCGACCACTACGCCTCTGACGATCAAAGACGCTACGCTTCAAGACACACTTACATTTCTTTTTAGAAATACAAGTGGGCACACTTCCCAGGACGGAAATCTTTTTCTTTCTTCTTAAGAGCACCATACATTCTTCGGACAACCTACTTCTCCGGCGACAACGGTGGTCAGAGATGTCAAGAACTCAAGCCTCACTGTTTGGAGAAGGTTGAAACGGCGTGTCGCATCAGAATACATGGCGCTCGGGGACTAGCTGTGGGGGATATACCCCCGGGTACCACAAGATGGTACATGGGCCGCACCATCCGAGGTGGCCCGGCCCGTAAGATCAAGGTGTACACGGCAGGATTACAAGTTGTACTAGATATTGTAATAGTACCAAATTGGATATTTTACTTGTAACCTTGTCTCTTCGGAGTATATAAGGAGAGACAAGGGTCTCCTAGAGGGGAGGTTAATCTGTATACATCTCAATACAATACACCAAAGACACAGGACGTAGGGTATTACGTCGACCAGACGGCCCGAACCTGTCTAAATCGCTGTCTCTGCGCCTTGTGTCACCATCTGGTTCCTGATTACACGCACCGTCTACCGACAATCAACCACCACGGGCACCCCCCTCGGTGGATTGCCGACCATATTTCGTCGACAGTCAATGTCGTGCAATATATAGCTAATACATGAATGCATCAGTCTACGGTTGCACAAATACTACCATCCATCTAAGGACAGAATGCACGCATCAGCTGTTTAAATTTGTGAAATGATTTCTTCTAGTTTTATGCATGAGAACGACATTCGGCCTAAAATCCAATGAATGTGTTGTCTGTGATATACTATACATGACCAGCGACTACGTTGGATTGCCGTCAATATCTTTTCTGTTTCTCTGTTTGAGATACTCAAAACAAAGTTCCATCTGGCCATTTGAGCTAGATGACAAAAAATTACAAAAGTCAAATGTGCCATTGACCTAAGACGCCGGGCATTGATTGTCCAGTGTCAAGGTATCGCAAATAATGATTCTCATGTATATTTTTTGTTATCTGAGCATCAAATCCATGCATATATAGTGTGTTGAATAGTATGTCGGCAAGAAGACTCTAGTATAATAGAAATATAAACAAGGAACACTCTAATATAGTATAAATATAAAAAGGAACTATGTAAGAGGAACATGGCAGGGGATTTGCTCGACCGTCACTATCTTTGGGTGCATTCATCGTTGCACATCAAGAAATTGACCTACATATAAGGGTATATCTAAGTGGTGTGTGCCCCTGTGAGGCTGCTAACAACTAGAGTGGCTGTTATAGTTAACTCCCATGAGCATGATTAGGGTAGCTCTCAAGTCAAAAAAACTGATACTAATTAATCTGATACAGATGGCTTACTAGTATAGAGACGGGGATACTGGCGTATAAACTGGCCTATATGGATATGCAGATACGCAATCTTTTATTCTGTAACAAAAACAAGCCCGGAAGTAGTGGTGATCACGTGCAAGGAGATGCAGCAGTGATATTTTTTAAAGAACCAAATGGAAGTCAAATGATGTCGAAGGTGCGTACGTGTCAGCAAGTGATGCAAGTCAACACTAGATGATTGTGTATGTTGCTGATTTGCTGTTAAGTCAAACTGAATATTCTGTTTTCTTAGTGTAAGTGAACATAGTCAACACAAGATAATTGCCCATTTTGGCTGGCTCAATTGAAACAGCAAAATAAATGGTTCGATTTTACATTCGCTATATGGTCGGAAAGGCTAAGGTTAAAAATTCTACGTGCAAGAGCCGATGCCAAAAGGTAAAATGTGTAATAGATTTAATACCTCCGTAGCTTGTAACGAATTGTGATGCCTTTTAATTTGGCACATTTGCAAGGACTTGGACATTGGTTCTACTGGGAGTGGCAGCTCTGTGTTGGTCCTTGTGGCTACGTAGAAATGCAGGTATATTTTAAAACAAACAATCTTCCTTTTCAGGTCATTTACTCAACTACGCACCGGCTCCGTACGTGATCCAACCTACGGAAGCCTGCTTCCCAGGACGTTGTTGTAGCGGCTTCTTAATACTTTGATAGCCAGTAGTCCCTGGCGATGTTTTTTTCTCTCTTTGGGTTGTGTGCCTTTCAGGCAGAGATTGGGAGGATTTCAAGATGCTGTATCACCTTGATGTAACACTTTTGAAATTAATAAAACTTTCCTTTTCGGAAAAGAATATATTGCTCATCAGCATCAAACAAAGAAATATATGCAGATCATATATTGTGATGATATGAGGAAAAACATGAGCCATTAGATGAAGAGAGAACATATACAATTTTTTTGTTGAGTGAAACATTTTGGGGGCCAGGCTCTACACACAATACCAATTTTTCTGAACACCCCATTTTAAGATACATTTTTGACTCATATTACGTATAGCAATACAAATTCAAGTGCTAGTGGAGCCTCTAGAGTACAAGTATTTATTATAACATACGTAGTCAAAGATTACATATAAGTTTTGATTCCTCTTTAAATTACATTTAACTAGTTTATACACAAATAAAGGGCGATCCTAATCAATAAATGAATGAAAACGACATTGTTATGTTTGAAGCATGATGGTTGTCCGTTGTCCAGCAACCAACAACCTCCTGGCCGGTAAGGTTCTTCTTCAACCTTAGTCTATCACCTCCTATCCCCAAACTCGACAAAGTAACTCCTCGTGCCGTCCATTTCATTGATTTCACAAGTACAAAAACTATTTTTACCAGCTCCAGTTTTTGACCGCCAGTATGAAAGGCCAGTCAAAATAGGGTATTTCCACTAGCGGTGACCATACCGTCAATAGACATACATTTCAACGAAAGCTTGGTTAAGTCACACACCTGTGAAAATTGATTTCTAGTAGTAGTTCTCCTAAGCTATCGCTAGTCCAAAAGCAATATGAAAAACTATGAAAATATTTTTTTTTTGCACCTAGGCCCGATTCACCGAAGAGCCCTTGGGACACTGCAATCCTTCCTTACCATCCCACTACACAGCCGCTAATGATAGCAATATGAGAATCATTCCTTTTGACCCGTCCGTGGTGACTATTCTTAGTGGTGGTTTTCTCAAGAAAATTATGTTTTAAAATAGATCTGAGAAATTTTAACAAATATTTGCGAATATAAATAATTTCAAATGAAAAAACTTCAACTACGGAGCTGTAGTTTTCACTAAGCTCTACAACTTTGATATAAATTTTATCTTCATGTGACTTAATATGAAAAGGTTATCAATTTTATATGTGTCATTTTAATCTGATTTGTAGTGGCGGTTAGGTTAAGAAATCCACCTCTACAAAAGGCTATTTGTGCTGGCAAAGAGCCCTGATGATTCTTACTATGTAGAAATATTTAACTAAAAGTATAGTGTTTTTCTTTGATAGAACACAAATTTCCTTTGCGTTTCACCGATGAGCCCGAGCGGCCACCTTGGGTTGCCGTGCAGCAGCTCCACAACTGTGGCAGTTGAAATAAGGTACCACAAGTGAAAATAATTATTTCTAAGAGCCGATGGTACATTATGAATGTGTTTGGTTTGATTAATGGGATAGTCCATTACGAAAATAACTTTTTTGTTTGGTTTGCGGAATGAAATGGGTTGACCATCACTATCTTATTCCTCATAATCTAATAATTAGTACTAATGCATGCCACCTTATAAAGCATGAGGTGACTCCACAGACCAATTGAAATCATTACCTTGGGACCTATTTTCACAGAAGAAAAAGTCGAAAATATATATATCCAGATGCATTCGATGGAAGTACAAATCAAAAGGAGAAAATCATCCTCAGCACAATGCACGCAAATGTACAGACAGAATGTACGTGTGCCGGCAGCTGGTGTGTCACGTACGCATACATACATGATGAACTGTGACAAGTGGACTAGCTAGGGAAGCTAAGCTATGGTGCGGCCGCCGTCGATGCAGATGACTTGGCCAGTCATGTAGGACGCCGCCGGCATGCAGAGGAAGGCCACCATGGACGCCACCTCCTCCGGCTCACCGATCCGCCCCATGGGCAGCCGCGCCATCTCCTTCTTCACCAGCTCCGGGTCTATAGTCTTCTGCAAAAATAATTCAATCGTCCCATGAGGTCATATATCATCTAAAAGATTAATTTGCGTAGGTAGCAGCTGACAGAGGTTAAGCTTACATCACTGCTGATGTCAGTTCTGATGCCACCCGGCGCGACGCAGTTGACGCGGATGCCGTCGCCGGCCCACTCGGCTGCGAGGCTGCGTGTGAGCTGGTTCATGGCGCCTTTGGACATGGAGTAGACGGCGAGTGCCGGGAGCCCAATGAAGCCAGCGATGGAGGAGATGTGCACGACGCTGCCGCCACCGCCGCTGGCCCGCAGGGAGCGGGTGCGCGAGCTGATTGAAGTGGAAGCACGACTCCAGGTTGGTCGCCATGATCCGCGCGTAGTCCTCGCCGGTGCACTCCAGCGTGTGCTTGAACATCGACTGCCCCGCGTTGTTCACGAGGATGTCGAGCTTACCGCCGAAGGTGGCGCCCACGGTGGCCATGAGGTCCTCGCGGTCGGCGCGCACGGACACGTCGCAGACGGAGACGGTGACCTGCAGCCCCTTTTCCCCACCGCCGGCGGCACACTCCTCCAGCTCCGCCGCATTGCGTGAGCACGTGTGCACCCTGGCGCCGAACCCGGCGAGCTCCTCCACGATCGCGAACCTGCCACCGATCACAGACACACGTCCATAATTTAAGTGACTCGTACAAACTAAGTAGTACATCGCATGCGAGATCATCAGAGCACGTAATGTGTACCCAATGCCCTTGCTGCCGCCGGTGACGAGAGCCGTGGCGCCGGCGAGGTTCCACCGCTCCGCCATGCTCATGCACGCAGTCACCATCTTCTTCCTCTGAATCTCTTGACTTGTATATGTATAATGTATTACAGATCGGAATTAGAGTGATCGCCGATGGATTTAGAGTGCAAATGGGATGGATGAGATGCTACTCCACATCCATGCAGCATGTATTTATAGTGATCTTACGGGATGGCACCTCCATTGAAATGTGCACTAGAGCACTAAGCAGAGGTGAGCTGACTTTGAATAAACTATAGACCATGTTTAGTCATCTAACGGCCGGATTTGGACAGATACGGCGCACATGAAGACAGCCGAGCAACCTCTGCTGGTTTATTCTAAGCATCCGCCCAAAGAAAATATTAATAAAAAACCTTCCGCCTCTAAAAATCTTTTTTTTTAGTAGTGCTCCTCCTCCAGCGTACTCACTGGTGAGGGACCTGAACTCGCCAGAACGGAAGAAGGCGAGGGGACGTAGACAGCAGCATGGCGGCGGCGGTGTCTCCTGGTGATGGCTGGTTGTTAACATTGCGTTAATCACTTGGGATGAACGTAACTAATTAGTACAGGCCACATATAGACACAAAGCTTAATAATTTTCGTACTTATAGTTATACGATGATTTGTCCTGGTACTCCTGTTCCAATTTTAAGGTGTGAGAAAATAAGATTAATAACATCTGTATGGATGCCTAAATACAACGTGCACCCAAATTTGATCGCGGTATATCAAACTCCAAGGCCGCAACTTGTCGCCGCCAACCACACGCTTATATAAAAATTTGGAATATTTATTATCCAAGTAAACGGAATATTTATTCATGACGGAAAGTTGACTTTACTTTGTTGTGCTTTGAGCTGCTAATGTCAAAGTTTCCAACATATATAATGCATAATCACCTGAATATACAAAGGTAAGCAAAGAACATATACATGTTTATAAGTAAGTATAAACAAGCATGCTAGGCTCACGAAAATTGTGTACACTGTGCAACGTCCATTGAATCACCTGCAACTTAATTTAGTATTATATAGGGAGTGTCTAATTATTCTGCCATATTTTTTATAAATGCGACCCAGTAGACAGTTGTAGCACAAATCATAAAGCACAACTAAACGTATAGAAATCTGACAAATGTAGTAGCAAAAAAAGTGTCAACCAACAAATAGCAAAAGTCTTATATAAATATATATATATGAACCAGAAAATCACCATATTCCTTTGTACCCCCTTTTGGCTCTGTCATCCATTTTTAAGATATATATAGTTGTTATAAAAGGTTAATATATATAGAGGTTATGTTCGTTGTTTTCCCGCGTTTATTTCGTAGATCTATTGGGTTGAATCTTGGGATGGCTATATGCATGCCAAATATAATATCCTATGGTCGTAATAAAAAAATATGAATAGATAAATTGAAACAAGGATCTGCTTGGCTGTCCATATCAGTGGATATACTTCGGTGGGTACTTATTTACAACAAATTTTCAAATACCTAGATAATCAAACTATGATTGTCTGGTAAATTAACTAACTAAATGGGTCAAATGACTGCCCATTGTAAGAGCCCTCTTTGGGGGAGGGGGGGTGGCGGCTAGGGTAGACGGGGGCTGGTGGTGGCACAGGGGAGGGGAGGCGGCACTGGAGAGGGAGAAGAGAAGACCGAGGCAGAGAAGGGAAGGGATAGGGAAGAGCTCTCGTTCAAGTATTTCCACTGATATGGACAGCCAAGCAGATCCTTGTTTCAATTTATCTATTCATATTTTTTTTATTACGACCATAGGATATTATATTTGGCATGCATATAGCCATCCCAAGATTCAACCCAATAGATCTACTGAAATAAACACGGAAAAGCAATGAACATAACCTCTATATATATTAACCTTTTATAACAACTATATATATCTTAAAAACGGATGACAGAGCCAAAAGGGGTACAAAGGAATATGGTGATTTTCTAGATAGGAATAGTTACATCGCCCCTATATTTATAGTCTCGAGTGGACTTGCATCTCAAGTAAACTAATGAGGAAAAATCCTTATAGATTTGGACTCCTCTAAATCCTATCCAATATTTCCTAAACCGACTCTATTTCTATTTCCTTTCATTTATTTTAGATCCTACAGGATCTGAGTGTTGGCAGGCGCGGCGGGGAGGCCGCTGCCCCCCCTGGTCACGCGCGTCCCCCTCCTAGTGGCACAGTTTGGCCCCTGCGTGGCCAGCCTAGGCCCCTCCTGGGCCTGTCATCTGGCGTATGACACCCATCAGGAAATATGGACAGAAAAACTATAGTTTACCGATTAACTCTTAAGACATATAGAGTCCCCCCCAAGGAATCAAGCATGTATGTCTGCAACAGAACCTCAAAAACATTATGGGGGCGTTCTGTAAACAAATATATATAAATGCCACTAGCTCTATGGGATACTAAACCAAAATGATTAGGATATGTGTGCTTATGCAGCAATTCCTTTGTAAGTTTTACATGTCATTCTTGGAATAGACATTAGTGTCTATATTTTTGTTCACAGAGAAAAGGGATTGGAATTGTAAATTGGGTTTGTCAATGCAAAACGAAAACATCAACTACCCCGGAAATTCATAATTAGTACTGAAAAAATGGATTGTGAGGACAAAACTTAATTCATTCACGATTGAAAAGTCTCTGCACACAACAGCAAAAGCATTGCATATAAGCAAGTGAGACAAAAAACTCTGAGTGCCCTCCACATACCACTCCCCTTTTTTTTGGGAACTCACATACCACTCCTCCCTTGTCAGTTTGAGATACACACCTTACATCTGACAAAAAGAACTTAAGAAAGCCAAATGCAGCGTTGACCTGCCGGTGTCAATGCATCTGAAATAATGGTACGTATGTCGCCGAAAATACGACGACTCTTCATAGACAAAGTACTCTATAATATAAGTATAACATGGCAGGGCGATCGCTAGCTTAGCTCCGCCGTCACTATCTTCGGGTGCATTCATCTTTGCAACAAACTCACTTGTATCCTTGTGAGATCCATGACCAGTGGCCTTCTAGAATGATAGTACTAGGTATAGTTAACTCCCATCATGAATCATTATTAGCTAAATCAGCAGTAACAGGTCGATAATATATACTTGTATTATAGAATAATTTAATACTAACGTACAACGGCACAAGTAAAAGTAGTGTACATGTATATGGGTGTAGATACGACGAATACCTGCTCCACCTAGGGCACTCCCAATTTGCCCCAATGCATAGTTTCTATAAGAAAAGACTGCAACTTACTCTCTCGGTTTCAAAGTGTGATCTTGGAGCGCAGTCCGCACCAAGTCAAATTGCGCCTTGTAATTTGAAAGATTATAGATGCTTAAACAATCGATGTGATTGCTTCCTCATTGAAATCAGTAGCACCATACCATTTGCTCGAAGATGAATCATGAATGGAGGCATCAGCAGAGGCTGTTGTCCACCATTCAGAGATGGGCGAAGAACCGGTTGAGGGGAGCACCGGTGCTAGGAACACCAGTATTCTGAGCAGCTGTCCCAGCAGCACGAGCAGCAAGAACATTGGCATCTGCATGGCGAGTTGCAATAGCACGAGTCGCAGCAGCTCCGGTTCTAGGGACACCACAGCCTCGCCAAGAACTTGTCTTCCTTGATCGATTCATTCTATGAGATTTGGAGACGGATTTTGGCTCACCGTGGATGGGGACGGACCTCGATTAGAAACAACAAGATATTGTTAGAGAGTAAACCCACCCGTGGGCCTGCCGACCCATGCTCGTCACCGTGCCTATATATGTACATTGATATTCATTGAGCAATACATTGAGTATTCCCTAATTCATTCTCTGTCAAGGTATCACATACGGTTCACTCCTGGGACCGCGCTTCCGCCAACCCTCGCCACAGCTGACTCCGTCGCCGGCCAACTACCCGCCCGCCGCCCAGCACCTCGCCGGGCTTTCCACCTGCCGCAGCTGACTCCGTCACCAGCCACCTACCCGCCCGCTGCCGAGCACCTCGCCAGACTTCCACCTACCGCTGCTGGCTCCGTCGCCGGCCACCTAACTGTTGGATATAATATGGGCTTGGCCCATATAATATTTAATAAATCAAATAAAACTCTATGGTACGTAACATTAAGTGTTGTATGGCTTAATACTATACGGGATTTTGACTGAACGCTGACTTAGCTTATATGGTTGGAAATTATTCATCTAAATTGAGAAGCTGATAAAAAGATAAAGGCGTGCCAGGCCAGGCCGGGCCACTGACTGCGTCAGTTACCGTCCCTTCCGCTTCCGCTTTTCGTCTCCTAGGATTCTCCGCTGCCTTCGTCTCCTTCCCCTGTCGCAGCCATATATCCCGTCCTCCGTCAGTCTAGACCCGACCTTCCGAAACAGTTCCTGAGAGAACCACAGATCAGCAGCCTTCTGGCTTCCCCGTCCCGTACCTCTGCGCGCACGGAGTAACGGGAGAGCAGGTGCCTCCGGAACCCTCATCCGCCTGAGAATCCTGCACGGGGTGAGCGGCGATTAGGTTTTTGGGGAGCGATCCGCGACTGCTCGTCCATCTTCTTCCTGCTGGAGATCACTCTTGGATTCGTCTTCTTCTTGTAACGTAAGGCGTCTTCTTTCTGGTGATCCTTCCGTGGGACTGCACTACGAACATCTTCCTGCATCGACTATGGTCCGTGACTTCGAGCAACGCACTATGTCGACTAGTGCGAATGGAGCCTCCGATGCCCTCGGCATGGGACCCTCCGCTGGGTACAGTCTAATCTATGTGATTACTGTATTTTGTATTCTTACTGTATCAATCAGTATGTCATCTATGCATGCTGTAGCGTTCATAAGAAATATACACATGCACATATATGCTGTCACAAACATGCTGATGTTATATTTCTGGATTAAACTGATAATGAAAATGCCTAAATCTCTAACAATCCAAAAACCTGATGTTAGGCAATTTTCTGTCAGTGGTTTTGCTGCTGCTTTAAAGCCAAATAATTTTGATGGCAAG